TCATTTCTACTCGCTTCACTTAACTATTATTATACAGAATACAAGAATAACTACCTCTTTCATTCTAATACGTTCTTTATGCCTTAGAGGCTTCTTTTATGTGTGTGCTATATGATATCTTGAGAGGGTGTTGGTCAGTAGTAGGTACTACTGCCCTGTTTTACTATGTTTATTATAGGAGATTGCCTAAGAAAGTAGAATATTAGAAGATAGATTTTATTAAAGTAAAACTGCTATATAAAAAGTATAGCTAATACTGATAGTAGAAAGTGCTTATATTACAATGAATTCACCAGTCAGTAATGAGATACATCTGCCTTGATGCGTTGCAAGGTCATTAAAAATCGAGATCGAAGTGATGCTATCTATTTTCCTCCTGGGGGCTGTCAAGTTTAACGCTACGTTCGATTGCTGTGAATGTATGCTTAGCTACTGAAAACAGAACGATTTAATAACTATGTATACAGAACTTACATTGATATAGTCAGTCGTTTCCCTCCTCAGCATCCCGATCATCAAGTAATCCCCATAAGAGCATGGATCAGATCAAACAAAGCAGCAGTCGTTAGGTTGGGGTCAGTCAAGGAAATGCTTACACCCCTGCTTGTAAGAGTTGTTCCAGTTCACCAAGTCAATGCCTTGGCTTCCGCTAGTGAGGATAACAGCTTTGTTTCAGATTGCTATTGCCTTATAGCAACAGTAGTGAACATAGGTGTTCGAAATTGACTTTCTAATAGAGAAGAACAGGGTCGAGACGTATATGTTACGACAGCCTTTTGAAGGATTAAGTCTATATAGCTATATATATAAAGACACGCTAAGTTGATGTGGTAAGCAGTAAGATGAGGCGAGGCAAAAAAGAAAAAGAAAAGAAAAGAAAAAGGCCAACGGAAAGCTGAGATGATGTCTAGGCTGGGATGAAGTGATGATGATATCCTAAACGGGGGAAACAGTCGATCCGATGAGGGGTCAGTGAAGCCATATCCCGGGATTCGTCGGTGGTCGGTGGTTAAAATATCATAATCTTCGAGGGGGATGACCGGCCTCGGGGTTGACCCACAGGGTTGACCCACAACAAAGGGACGGTCCGGCTGCATGGAGTCAATGGTGGGTGGCGTGCTAAACCCTAAAAATTAAGGCAGGCAGCTGAGGTACCAAGGTATCTCATCTTGGCTGTGAGCTTTTGTCCTGACGTCATATCTCCTCCATTGTTGCTTCTTTCTTCCCTCCTTCACCAAAGCACGTGCTGTACACGTGATTCACTGCACCCATTCCTTTTGGCTTCGACTTTGGCTCTGTTGACGACTTCGAAACAATGGGAGCTACAATTGCAATCACAACTCGGCTTCGAAAGAGCCGGTAGGCCAAAATAAGGACTAGACTGAAGAGGAAGACCGAAACGACGACGAGTATGACGATGGTAGCGGCGGCGGCTGCTAGCGACTCGGAGCACTACCCCAGCCGGCTCATCGTTGAGAAAGGCCCTGGTGCCCCCCATTTTCTCGCCCGCATCAGTCTCGGCAGCGCGCCATTCCCTCACGATACCTCCCTTCCCTTTGAGCGCGCTCGCGTCGCGACGGCTGTTGGCAAACTGCACCCCATCGTTGGAATCTTTGACGCCCAAATTCGAAGCGCGCTTCTCCACCTCCTCGCCGATATCGAGTGGTCCTACCTCACCGTTCTCCGCCTTGGCTTTCATGGCCAGCTCCCAGAAGACTGCCCTGTCACCGTTGTGATCGCAGTGCCGCCGTCTGCTATCACGGTGGATGATGCCGTCGGCCTGTTGCGGGATGCTGCTGATTGTGTCTATCGGTACGTGCTAGCCACCTCGCCGGTTCATGGCATGACTTTCGGCCTGCTTGCTTGCTTGTTGGCTCGTTGGCTGATCAATCACAGTTTCTCGGAGCTCCACGATCTTGCGATAGAAATAATCGAGGCGCAAGCAGTTTCGCATGTTGAGGCGCCGTCCAGCGCTTGGCCTCTCGGTTATGCCTTCGAAGATGGCTTTTGCGACAGTCCTCTCCTGGGTGCCGGTCTCGGTCGAGAGAACTCCCCCGCATCTGGCACCTTAGGCGGTTATCTTCGCATCCGCGCCTCTTCTGCTACTCCAGGGCAGGACAAGACCATGTGCGTAGCCTTGACCTGCCACCACTTCCTCAGCAGTATGTTCAGGACTCCTTCGTGTTCCTCCCTCATTTTTCGCTAATCAGCACAAGCCGACTGCGATGCAATCCAGCCTTCAGCCGATAATCCCATCATCAATTGCCCTTCCCGAGCCGATATTGAAGTCTAGAAGACGCAGCTTGCGCAAGGAATAGAGGCCAGTGAGAATTCCACCATGATTCAGCTTATGAAGACCAAGAGGGAGGCGGGATCGCTCGGTCCAGCAGAAGACGAGCGGCTTCGGGCTCACGAGCGCAATGTGAGGCTCAACCGCGAGAGACTTGCCATCGTTGCCGAGTTTCAGCCACGCTTTGCCCAAATCTACTGCACATCAGGGGTCAAATCATCGTATGATGGAGACGCATCTGAAAAACAGGAGAAACGCAGCTGGCTTTTGGATTGGGGCTTGGCTGAGTTATGTCCTCACAGGGTTCAAACATTCCAAAACCTCTCAAGCGTAAGTCTAACTCTTCGGTCTCCTGCCAATTATTGTCCTCAAACTTGATTCTGAAACAAACACTTTAGGCGCTTAACGACGCGGCTATTCTCCATTTTCTTCATTTCGAGAATGACTCGAAGGCTCTCATGAATCATGGCGGCGTTTTATCTCTCGATGAACTAGAAGCAAGATTCAAGGGCAACAATCACGCCGAAACTGACACCGCTGCGATCACGGCCACTCCTGCTACCAATAAAGATAGCCGTGCTGAGGACACGGTCAACAAATGCGTAGTATTCAAATGCGGACGAACCACGGGGAAGACACGTGGCGAAATGAACAACATCTACGCAGACGTTCGCATGCGCTACGCAGTCGACGGCGGGGATGTCCTGACCGTACAGGGGAAGACACTGGTCGTTGTCTCGCCAGCAGCCACCTCTCGTCGGTGGGGCCCCGCGAACGGCTGTCCCGTTGTCTTTGGCGACTATGGCGACTCGGGAAGTCTCGTCTTCGACTACCAGGGGAAGGCCATCGGTACATATATCGGAGGCCAGGATACACTCCGCGCTTGTGCCGTGAACTCACACATCAAAGCCTCTTCCATCGATGGCGTTCACTTCGTCACGCCCATCGGCCCGACTCTTGACAGTGTCCATGCTACTCTCCGTCGCGATCCTGTGTTTGCTGGCTATGATCGGGTCGAAGTCGAGCTAATGTAGGGATAGGAGGGGAAGTCGAGATGGCTTGTGATGATTTCAGGGGTGCTGGTGGTGGTGGTTGTCTTGAATCGCACGGATGAGCGAAGTGGTCTTAGGGAGTTACAGTTGTGAAACTGGCTCTTCCGCTTCAGGGGTCCTGTGGAATGTAAATAGGTAGAAAGACTCATCATCGACATGTTGGGCGATTTAAGTTATCCCAGCGTGGCAATTGAGCTTTTTGATAGAAAGGAGACTCTTCCCCATAGCTGAAGAGTGCAGGTAATATAGTGGCATATGATGTATTGAACAGTCGATGAAGGCGGTGGCGGAATCAACCACCGAGCGTTGCTTTCTTGCTTGGCCGGCCATGGTTCCGGGGATGGGAGATCGCCCCGCGTGTTTTCTCCTGCCTCCGGGTGAGTCGTTCATACACAGACCTGGTCGTCGGTGCCGTAGCGGAAGACTCGGCTACGGCTTGCTCGGGTACGGGCAGGAATACTCTAATATCGTAGTGTCTAGGGTCATTTTCGACGTCACTGATATTATTAGGATTATGGAGATTACTAACATAGCTATTTCATCACGCAATGCATGGAGAATCCCGTCGAGAGCAGCGGCGATGCTCACGGCGCCGCCGAGGATGTCGCCGAGGACGAGGCCACGATTACCTTTTGAGGTGGTCGACAAGGACACAATGGGCATATCATCATGCAGCCCTTCAACTCCACCTACTGAGGACCATGCTCATGAAAGATCTAATCAATGGGCACCGCCTCGTCTGTCAATGACACATACTCACGCAGCAGACACTGGTCCAGTGGTTCTGGGAGAGCGGCTTCGCGGTGGTGGCTACGGACATCCCTGCTTTCGAGTGGGGTCCCGGACAGCACGAAAAGGTCGAGTCGGGATATCTCTGGGACGGAGAGACCTGGGAGGCGGGCATACAGGGCAGTGGTCTTATGCATCAGTGCTTGCCATCCGGCTAGGGATGTCCTATTGGCGAGATGTTCTTCCTCGAGCAGCTCGCTGATAAGTGTCGGGAGCTAGAGCGCTGGCCATTCTTTGTAACCAGCGTCCCCTTGAAGGTATGAGTGGCTGCCCGAGACCTCAGCTAGATCAAATTACTGACATCCAATCAGGTCCCTGGAGGTGTTGCAAGTCCCCCCAATGCTGTGGCAATCTTTTGATGAATCTTGTGACAATAGTAAATTCAACTGTGTTTAACTGGAGCTTCAAAAGAGCGACAGAAGAGTTTTTGGCTAGGCAAAGCTTGAAATACAAGAATAGGACAGAAGAAAAGAAGAGAAAAGGGGGACCCAAACTTCGAAATACCAATTTCCAACTTCTTATTCGCAAAGTACCAGTGTAAGCAAGCTCAATCAACCTTCCAAGGAACTGGGGTGGTATGTGTATGTGTTGTACTCCTCGAGCATTATAGAAATCTGATACGCTTCAACTTTAGAACCATGTGACAACGGTTACTGCCAAACACTATCTACCGTACCTCATCACCACAACCACACCGAAAGGAAACACCCGTATAGAGCGACCGTAAACATCATTATCTTAATTTGTCACGTCACAATCTTCCTCCAAAGACACTGGGTTTGGACCTGAGTTAGTCTGTTGCCTGGTCTTGCAGAGTTGTTCGGGAATCAAGAAGACTTCGGAAGTGCAGCGCATGAATCGGTATCCAGGCGAGCGATGAAATTGCTGGAGAGCTCTTTGGTCTTCTCCCATGCTCGAACGAATACGTCACAGACGTATTTCCAGACATCCTTGAGCAGCTGCTTGATCCATTCGAATATCCGGCCCCACGGGATGAAGTAAACGGCCGCCCCGGCTGCGATTGTCGTACCGGCGCCCACAGCAGCAACGCCGCCGGCGAAGCCAGCGGTAAAATACCCAGCAGCAATTGAAAACCCGTATGGTCCAGTGATATAGACTCCGCCAACAGATATCCAGCTGACTCCGTACATACCTGCGAGGCCCGCCCCAGCGCCTATGACAACGGAGAGGAGAGCTTTCCACTTTTCGAGCCACGGCGCTGTACCATCAGTTGCCCGGGACGTCGAAGCTGCTGCCCCTGAACTCACCGGTCGGTCTGGTCCGGCCCACTTTCCTCGTGGTTGTGGCGGAAGATCTCTCTCGAGGTCATCACACTGATTTCGAACCTTGGCGCACTGCTTTTTCGACATAGTGTAATTCATAGCGGGTTGCTGTAGGGAAGAGTGTTGCTGGAGAATTTCTATCGCCTTTTCTTGGTCATCAGAAATGTTCCATACAATTCCTTCGGCGTGAGTGATGGTGTGGTTTAAGAGGCCAGCAGGTCTTTGTGACCAGGCATAGGTTCTAAAGTCACAGTAGCTAGACACGCTACCAATTCGGAGAGTGTTAGGGCGACCAGTTGGACGGCAACAAGCCACAAATACAGTTTTTATAGCCTTCGATATATGGTAGGTGATGCAATCGACGCCAGTGTCCACAAGGATGTGAAGCTGCTGGACCTTAATGTTGCGTAGAGATTTGATATGGTCTTGAAGGTTCTTTGACGTAGCAATCACCACATTTGACCCTGAAGCTATTAATTAACACTCTCAAGTAGCTGCAGAAGAGCAAGGCTTTCATCCACCGGAGACAGAGGGTGGCGAGGATCACATACGGAGTTTTTTCTCTTTGCTCTTCTCTTCGATCAACTTGATCATCGGCTTCTCTTGCTCTGGTCTGACAACGGCAAGGACAGTGTGCTCCCCATTGCCGTTTCTGGACTTCACGGCTTTCCAGACAATTTTGTTGTCTTTTTCAATGGGATCCTCATATACTGAGACTGGTTTGGAAGATTGTCGCTGGACCAAGGCAGTTGATTTAGAGCTGCCCTGCTTGGATGCAGACTTTGACGACTTGGAGGACTTCGATGAAGATGATGGCATTCTGGATGGGCAAATCAACACTGATATTAAAAGTAACAGATATTGTAGAGAGCCGGGACCTGTGTTGGCATTGAGCGCTTCCAAAGAGCAAGGAGGTGTAGTGTTATTTCTTAAACGAAAGAAGGAGAACACAACGTCTTTGGAGGTTTCATCAGGGGGTATTTATACCTTTCTTCGCTCACAAGGCTCTGTACAAGCAGAGCCTTAACGGCTGCAGTCTCACTCACATGTCGTCTTTGACCTACCTCAGGCAGTTGATTGTTACACAATCTAAGGCCCACTCGGCTTGCAGAGTCCTAGCCGATTGGAGAGGGACAACTGCGTGCTGTGTTTCGTAGCATGATTTCTGAATGGTGGAGCCTGTGCAATGCCAACTCGGGGACCCGTCATTGGAAGAAAGGGAGACAAGCCCTAATGCACGCGCGCATGGGCATGGGGGGAACAGTTTAGAGCCTCAACGAATGACAAGAACACTCCGAGAATGACGCACCTTCTGATAGGACAACTTTGCAACTATGACGCTGTGTAGTGAGTTTCTCATTCGTTCATCCACCTGACAGACACTGGCTAGACCATTACCGGGATTCAGCGGATCTTGGCACACCACTAGTCCAAAAAGCTGAGCCATCTCTGCTGGAGAGCCTGCTGATAGAACTTCCAGCCGGACGAAGATAAATCACAGAGTAAATGCATGAAGGCTGCACCGAACACGAGGTTGTCAATCAATCATACACTTACAGACGAATTTCGTCTGAAAGTTGATTGTTCCCTGACAAGCACATGAGACCAGCCACGTCGGCACATACTTAAAGGCTCGCTGCTGGTCTGTCATCCCGAAATTTTACTTCGGAGTTTCTTGTCGAATGTTCAAACCACCCTTACATTGAATAAAAGGACTCCCATTCTCCGATCAGTACATCGGTATCTCAACCCTAGTTCCAACCCTTTTCATCCTTGAAGTATCACACAAACATTTCTACAAGTTTAGTTCTATAACGCTGGTCAAATCGGATCTGTTACTATGTCGCAGGACGATCTTGATTACCATACTCCATGGCAGACTCGTCCTCTTTCCTCGGCATTCCCCACCCGTTGGCACCAGCAAAATCCCCATGACACCTTCGAGACAGGACCCCAGGATTGGGAAATGCTCATTCAAGATGACCAACTCAACCAAGTCGACACCAGTCATGTTGGCTTGGTGGATGGGGCCCATAGCCTACCTATCCGGCCGTATGTTCCATGTTCTCCTGCCTCAGCGCAGAATCTCAGTCAATGGCCGGTACAACACTCACATGATTCCAGCGTTCCGAGCACACACACATCCTGGAACCGGCCAATGAGAGCTATCAATCAGGACCCATTCACCGACGTAGATCGAGACATGGCACCCGATGCCTCCCTAGAGTGGCATGCTAGCACATATGCTGTGATCGCGGACCGCAGCTCTCATAGTGCCGCGGCAAGCTCAACTGCTCACGTTTCCCATCAAGAAGAACACCATAATCGCAGCGCTAGCAAGTCTGTACATTCTAAAGCTGAATGGGATGCTATAAGGCCATGGTTCAAAGACATCCATATAGATCGTGGTGCTACACTAGAGACCACGATGATGGTTTTGGAGTTTGTGCTGAGATTCCGAGCCAAGTATGTGTCGCGTTGTTGGAGTCTGATGGGCTCTGAAAGTCTAACCTCAATTTCACAGGGAAGACGATTATAACAATCGAAAGCGAGTCTGGGATGAATGCAGAAAATACAAAACAGACTCTAGCTCGAAGGGTACAAGACCAAGTGGAAGAGCACCTCTTTTCCCAGTATATCCGACATATTTTATACTACGCGCTCTCCGAGGAGTCATCCCACCCTCACTCTCAGATCCGTTGTATGTTGAGCAAACACGACTTCTTCTTGCAATTGACAAGTATGTCAAGGGTTTCTTTGACTCCGAGAAGAAGAAGCATGCCGGGGAATGGTCGGACCGTGTCGACACTGCCCGGCATATCCCAGCCGAATGGGCCTGGCAAAAGCTCTCTTCTGGATGCCAGGCAGTTTTGATCATGTCTCGAAAAACCAACATCATGCAGCAGCTGC